CAATCATTCCATACACTAAATATAGTTGAACTATTGCTTACAGTATCTAAAAAACAAACATAACCATGAAAATGAGGTCCAGGCCAGACGAACCAGGCTGTCAGACAGATATGCAAACCTAACAATCATTCCACACACCAAATATAGTTGACCTATTGTTTATAGTATTTGATAAACAGACAAAACCATGAAAACTTAACATTTACCAATAAACAATGAAAATGAGGACAAGGTCAAATGAATCCTGTCAGACAATCATTCTATACATCAAATATAGTTGACCTATTGCTTATAGTATCTGACAAATAGACCAAATCAGGAAAAAATTACATTGACCAATGGACCATGAAAATGCGGTCAAAATCAGATGAGATATGGACTTGATCCATGAAATAAGATCTATGTTCACCTTATCATTATTTCAAACACCAAATATAGTTGACCTATTGCTTATGGTAATTGACAAACAGACTAAAACACAAAAACTTAACATTGACCAATGAACCATGAAAATTAGGTCAAAGTCAGATTATACCTACCAGACAAATATGCACACCTTACAATCATTCCATACACCAAATATAGTTTACCTACTGCTTATAGTATAAGAAAAACTTACCAAAACACAAAAATTTAACACTGACCAATGAACCATGAAAATGAGGTCAAGGTAAGATGAAACCTGCCAGGCTGACATGTACCCTTGTAATCATTCTATACACCACATAGAGTTTACATACTGCTTAAAGTATCTGAGAAATGGACCTAATCACGTTACTTTAACCTTGATCACTGATCCATATCATGAGGTCAAGGTCAGGTGAACGCTGTCTGACGGACATGTAGACATTGCAAATATAGTTATTCTATCACTCATAATAAGTGAGAAATTCTCATGACAAAAACAAAACATTTTTTTCAAGCAGTCTCTTGACTTGGCCATGAACATGAGATGAAGGACAATGGACTTTTTTAACAACCTTAAGGCATCTGCATACAAAGTATGAAGCATCCAGGTCTTCGATCATAGGTGGATCCAGGAGGGGGCCTTTGGGGGACCAGGCCCCCTTTTTGTGGGAAAAATTTTGTTGAATATATAGGGAATCACTGAAGCATGAATGGGGCGCCCCCCCTTTTGGGCCAGTCAATATGCCCCCCTCCCCCCTTATAAAAATTTATGGATACGCCACTGGTCTTTTACCTTTTGAAATATAAATACTGGATTGTAATCCCTATGTCTCTCCTTCTGCGATTTTCGTCGCAGGCGATACAAAACTTTAACAGCAATTAATGTATAGGTCTGAACGATAAACTTGTTAGATTAAATTTTCAACGACATTCCATGTAATCAGTTAATTGGCACTCGAAGGTATGGCAAGCCGTTCTCGTCAAAACTATGTTTAAACCATTTTTCGACAAAATTTACACGTATACTGAGAATTTTAAAAAAGAATACACTGAGATTAAAAAACCTTATCATAAAGACGCACTGAGATTTCATAAAGACACACTGAGATTACAACAAATGAAAAACGCACACGAGAATTGAATATTAATGCTCTTCAACTTCGTACTTTGTTTGGCCTTTTTAACTTTTTTTTATTCGAGCGTCACTGATGAGTCTTTTGTAGACGAAACGCGCGTCTGGCGCAAATACAAATTTTTATCCTGGTATCAATGATGAGTTTATTTACACACTGAGAATAGAAAATTAATCACTGAGATTTCAAAAAGACACACTGAGATGAAATAAACTGAAAAACACACAGTGATAATTTGAAATTACCAAGTATTTGTATAGTAATCCTTGAAATTACACACTGAGAATTTAAAATTAAACACGGAGATTTGTGCGCACTTTTTATGCGCACACATCTAATTAGCATACATAATCTGAATCTATTACAAGCTTAAAACAACTAGGGGACAGAACTCGTTAGTCCTTCAATTTGGCGCCAAATGTTTTATAAAAAACATTCGAAATACAACGTATAGAAAAACTGCGTTATTAAAGACCAATAGGACAAGAAAAATACCCTTACTCTCATTACAAAATATAACCAATAGGTGAAAAACTTTATTAGAATTATAAGAAAACATTGGAACAATCTGCAAAAAGACAAACAATGCAGTGAATTTTTTACCCAAGTGCCTATTATAGCATATAAACGTAACAAAAATATAAAAGATTACCTTGCGAAATCAGGGTAACAGTTGAAAGATTTTGAAAAGGGACCCATGCTTAAACAGTTTTAAGCAAAAAATCCCGATACACTGTTAATAATAATCTGAATTATAGGCAACACGTACACTTATGAATATGAGATAGCAAACAAGAGGCTCACGAGAGCCTGATGTCGCTCACCTGTAATTTCAGTTTCAGGCATTTGACTTATTTGCAGATCTTCCTTAGCTGAACAATTTTGTCATTTACACTTTTTCTCTTTCTGTAATAATATTTAAGAATAATACACAACCCAAAACTGTAAAATTTCCTAAAAATTAACTATTTCTGTACAGGAGCCCAACAATAAGTTGTCCTATTGGTATGAGATTACTTGACAGGTAGATCTAAACCTGTTTAACACTTTCACCTATGTCTGTTTTGCTCTTACTGCTGATACCCAAAAACTTCATTTGACCCCTATGTTCTATTTTTAGAAACTGCCGCCATGTTTTTGAATGGATCAAATCCCCGAGTACAATCTATAAACTAGATACCATAAGGAACATTTAATTAAAGTTTTTAAGTATTTGGCCAATTAGTTTCAGAGAAGAATATTTTTGAAAAAGTAATTAGACTTTCACAAAAAATGTAAAAAAAAAAACGTGTTAAGGGCAATAACTCCTTAAGGGGTCAATTGACTATTTTGATCATTTTGACCAAGTTATAAATCTGACTTAGCACACCATTTATTGCCATTTATACTTTCTCTCTATCTATTATAATACTAAAAAAAATAACTAAAAACAGTAAAATTTAATAAAAATAAACTATTTACAACAGTAACCCAACAATGGGTTGTCTGAAAATTTCATAACAGATAGATCATGACCCATTTATCACTTTAACTCCCTTTCATTTTTGCTCTAACTGCTGTAGTTTTTGAGATATGAGCCAAAAACTGCTTTTGTCCCCTATGTTCTATTTTTAGCCATGGTGGCCATGTTTGTTGATGGATCAAAACTTCGGATACAATTTACAAATTAGATACCCTAAGGAACATTCAGTTAAGATTTGGAAGTATTTGGCCCAGAAGTTTCCGAGAAGAATATTTTTGAAAAAGTAATTAGACTTTCACAAAAATGTACAAAAAAAACGTTTTAAGGGCAATAACTCCTTAAGGGGTCAATTGACTATTTTGATCATTTTGACCAAGTTATAAATCTGACTTAGCACACCATTTATTGCCATTTATACTTTCTCTCTATCTATTATAATATTAAAAAAAATAACTAAAAACAGTAAAATTTAATAAAAATAAACTATTTACAACAGTAACCCAACAATGGGTTGTTTGAAAATTTCATAACAGATAGATCATGACCCATTTATCACTTTAACTCCCTTTCACTTTTGCTCTAACTGCTGTAGTTTTTGAGATATAAGCCAAAAACTGCTTTTGTCCCCTATGTTCTATTTTTAGCCATGGTGGCCATGTTTGTTGATGGATCAAAACTTCGGATACAATTTACAAATTAGATACCCTAAGGAACATTCAGTTAAGATTTGGAAGTATTTGGCCCAGAAGTGTCTGAGAAGAATATTTTTGAAAAAGTAATTAGACTTTCACAAAAAATGTACAAAAAAAACGTTTTAAGGGCAATAACTCCTTAAGGGGTCAATTGACTATTTTGATCATGTTGACTTATTTGTAGATCTGACTTAGCACAACATTTATTGCCATTTATACTTTCTCTCTATCTATTATGAAATTTAAAAAATAACTAAAAACAGTAAAAGTTAATAAAAATAAACTATTTCCAACAGTAACCTAACAATGGGTTGTCTGAAAATTTCATAACAGATAGATCATGACCCATTTATCACTTAGATATCCCAAGGAACATTCAGTTAAAGTTTGAAGGTATTTGGCCCAGTAGTTTCAGAGGAGAAGATTCTTGAAATAGTTTACGACGACGACGACGACGGACGCCAAGTGATGGCATAAGCTCACATGGAGCCCTTCGGGCCCTGGTGATCTAAAAACGATGTTAATTTAATAAAGTCTTGAAATTTATTACGAATGTTGGTTGAAGGAACCACGTTTCATTAAAATGACGAGAGTTCGGGAGACCAAGATATTAATCTATTAAATTATTCATCTCATGAATATTCATTAGTAATGTGCATATTAATCTCAGTGTGTAATTAACAATTCTTAGTGTGTATTTTTCAATTTATTTTATCTCAGTGTGTCTTTTTAAAATCGCAGTGTGTAATTTTAAATTCTCAGTGTGTGTTTTTCATTTTTTAAATATCAGTGTCTAATTTCGATTTCTCAGTGTGTTATTTTTGGTTTTTAAATTTCAGTGTGTTTTTTTTTAATTCTCAGTGTGTATTTTTTTCGAAAAAAGGGTTTAAAAATAGTTTTGATGAGAACGGCTTGCCATACGAAGGCTTTAAAATAACAAGCGGTGTCTCTGAATAACTTTAGTCGGAGTAAATAGAAGAGGTCATAGAAAGGTGTCTATGCAATATGACAAGCTCTAAGTCGTCCCGAGTAAACAAAAAACAGTTGTGTGAATAAATATAACAGAGAGTATCAAAAACCTACCTTCTCCAAATTACCATAAATATTTGAATATGACAAAAGACAACCACGGATACAGGCATAATAAGTATATTATGGCATGGTAAAATGTGTTGGTTTTTTTTATCTCAATCCTTCCACATTTAATCTCAATCAATCGACTAACAAAAGGTAAACGAAAGAACATAGATCTACAAGCAAAAGAAATAACTCTCAGTTAATGAGTCATTTTATTTGACTAAGAGTTAAACATGCAGTTGTTTATTGAATGCCTCCAAAGTTTAACGTCGTGTAGTGAGCTATCTGGTCCTGCTAACTAATCGTATAAATGCCATTCTATTGTGTCATGGTTATTGAATGTTCTTTAGCTCTTAGTCTAAGCTGTGTTAATCCTTGTGTAGGAGACAGTCCATCTAAACCCCTGTTAGCTGCCGAATATTGAAAGTCATTACACTGAGGTAGTGAGACACCTGAAATATGTTAATTGATGTATTACATTTAAAATTAACTATATCTGCAGTTAATTGCCCATTGCTACTTTTGTGTTTAAGTAAAAAATGGCGCAACCTCCCGTTACATTTGTTCATGCAGCAGTAGCGGACTTCAGTTCCGCAGTAGTATTGTCAATGTACTAGTATGTGAAAACTTTTATACTTTGTTAATAAAAAAAAAATTAAACATTTTCTCAATTATGTTACATTACATTCTTACAGGACATTTGCTTTTATCCCTTAGTCTTACTTTGACTTATCTCTTCCGATTTGCAATTCATAAACTTATACTGTGATCAGGGGCAGATTCATGCGGGGGCGTCGCGGGCATGCCCCCCCCCCCCCTCAAATTTGCAAAGCATGGGTTGTCCTCAGCTTAATAAAGAATATTTCGATAATTTTACCTCAAAAATGATTTCGCCTCGCTACGCTCGGCGAAAATTTAAGTTTGCGCCCCCCCTCCCAACCTAAAATCCTGGATCCGCCCCTGGTGATATTGTTTGTTAAATTATTATGTTTCCTTAATTCTTTGTACCATTGTCAGTTTGTTTGAGAGAATAAATTATCCATCTATCTGATATGATTTTATCCATTTTCCTGATGTTCTTACTACCTTTTCTATGCTGCATTCTACATTGATTCTTTGATTTCTTACCTCCATTTTGGGGTTGTCGTCTGTCATACCTAAAGCCACCATGGAGATAAGAAGGCATTTGGTTTGTTAAACTACTGCCAAATGACCTCGACCATTCCATATTCCCATGGAAATACATCCCAGAAAGCGGCAGCGGTGGCACATTTGAAAGCTGAGTAAGAGTAGAGGCAGTATTGCCACGAATAACCGCTGACCTTTCTGCTTTTCTTGTTGTTGGCATTGCTGAAATAGGAGAGGACAAGCTAAGATCATCTTGGTGCAATCTTTTTATGCTTGTGCACAATGGCCAAGTCTAGCTGCATACGCCGCACATTCAGCACCAAATGAGGAATATTAATAAAAAATCTTCAAATTACCATCCTATTTTTCACGAAATGGCACATTTAAACACTGTAGAAAACACTTAGCAGAAAAAGCTACAAAGGCAATGTATGAGGTGATCAAAAAGGGGAGAAAACATGGGTTATCTATTAGTTGTCAATTAGATTTATTTGACAAATTAGTGAAACCGGTCTTATTGTACGGTTGTGAAATTTGGGGGTTTGGGAATAACGACATTCTGGAGAGAGTTCAATTAAAATTCTGTAAGCTTCTTCTGCACCTAAAGTCTTCTACCCCAAATTGTGTAATATATGGTGAACTTGGACGATATCCCATCAATTTAGATATTAAAGTCCGTATGGTATCATTTTGGGTGAAATTAGTATGTGGTAAACCGACTAAATTATCAGCGACCATTTATAAACTACTGTTTAAGCTGTCAAATGAAAACGATGTAAAGTTTAGTTGGTTAAACCATGTTGAATCCATTTTTAATGAAACGGGATTATCTTTTGTGTGGTTATCTCAAACATGTATTAGTGACATTTGGTTAAAGAATACAATCAGAACATCACTCCAAGATCAGTTTCAACAAACATGGCTTTCAAATGTGCAAGCATGTTCAAAGACATTAAATTATCGAATTTTTAAGGATACTTTTGGGTTTGAGAACTATTTTGATATTTTAGAATTTCGTGATATTTATACTTTATGCAAATTTAGAACCATCAACCATAAATTACCCATTGAGATAGGGAGATGGACAAATATTCAGAGAGATAGAAGAAATTGTAAATTATGTAACGCTAAAGATCTTGGAGATGAGTATCATTATATTATGATGTGCACAGAGATGTCAGTAAAAAGAAACGAATGTATTGATAAAAAAATATGTAAATCGTCCAAATATAATTATGTTTAAGAAAATTATGAATTTAAATATAAAATCTAAATTGAGAAAGCTGTGTACTTTCATTAGATTTATAAATTCCCATGTGTGCCCTCCTGGCTAAATACTATCAGTATAATTGTAAATAGTGTACATATTTTGCTCTGTGTATTCATGTATTTATGTCTGTATTATTGATGTCATGTAGTGTCTGTATACCATTGTAATTGCAAAGGTTTGACAGAATAAAGATATATATAGGTTACAGAAAAAAGATTAAAATGTGATTACCATAAGAATCAAAAGAACCTAGGTAGGTCTGCAATCACCTAGTTAGCATTCTGGTGGTCGAGTAATTATGAGAAAAAAATGAACAAGTAGGAGATTCTTAACCAAAACCAAACTTCTGCTGGAATTTAATTTAACTTCTTAAGTCAACATTTGTTAACGGTTGTCCTTCGGAACGTTATTTAAAAAAATATATACATTGTTTGAAAATTGTCTTCGATAGCAAAGTATAAATACTGAATATTAGTCACAATTAAATTTAATGGATATATGCAAACTTGATAAATCTTTTAACTGTACTTTTTATTTAAACTTTTAGTATAAGTATTCAAATTCCAGTAAGTTTAATGAACTTTCTGTTTCTGACACTGTGCGTCAAACAATTAAAGGAGAAATTGACCCTATCCGTTTTTCATAGAACTTATATTCGTCTAGAAGAAAATGCTTAAATATAAGTAGATAAACCAGACAAAGATGAAAACGAAATTAAAAGACAGTTTCATTGGTAGGAAAACTAAATCGTAATTGATAGATTGAGTGTTGCTTGCTTAATGTCAAGGGAAAGTATTTCCACTAATAATTAGTACGACAACAAAACATTGAAACTCGCATAGATTTAAATATGTGAAGGAAATGCGTTCAGTTATTATAGTTAAGCCAGAGCAATAAAAACCTCCTGCTCTTGTTACTAAGCGAAAAATTTGATTGAATACATTAAAACCATAATTATCATAATGATAAAAACAGAATAACAACAGTCAAACGGCAAGGCCGTTCGAAAGATTAGATAGATTTGACACTGTTATATGGTATATAACTATACAAATACCTGACTGGTTTAATCCCTGGTCTCTTTCGAGTAGTTTTTGGTGTTTTCGCCATTTTGCTCTCCTGTTTTGAAACCAAACCTAAAAATTGTAAGCAGTCTCATATAACTGTAGGTATATTATTGACATGTAGGTATAGCTTAAATTCCAACTAAAAGATAAGGAGATGTGGTATTATTGCCAATTAATAAAACAAATATCCAAACAGAGACCAAATGGCGTGAATGTTAGCAACCTTAGGTCAACGTACAACAAGGAACAAAACCCATACCATATTGAAATCTATAAAAGGCACCGGCATGACTAAATGTATAACAATTCAAACGAGAAAACCAACATTCTAATTTCTGATACAACAACTAAAAACAAATATGACAGGCAGCAAGCAACGACAACCACTAAATTACATACTCCTGACTTTAGACAGCCAGAAAAAGAATGTGGTATGGTTAAACATGTTTGTGAGCGGACAACCCTCCCCTTACTTGACATAGTGATGTTAAAAAGCACAGCATAAGAACTAATTGTAATAAACAGTTGACACAGAGATATGTCCCTCCTAAATGTAGAAGGAAATATCTTTTTCTCTATCATGGCTAGAAGTATGCCACGACAGATAACAACTATGTAGACACTTCAGTACAGAAGGGCGGAGTACGAGGATTCTCAGGATGCATTGAACATACAAGCATCATTTCACAACTGATTCAAGAAGCCAAAGTGAATCAAAAAGATCTTACAGTAGTATGGTTAGATTTGGTCAACGCCTATGGCACAATTCCACACATGCTGATACAGGAGTCACTAGACCTTTACCATATTCCAGACCACTTAAGAGAGTTATAAGAAGTTATCTCAGTGGGATTGAGCTGCGGTTTACAACAAGCACATTTACAACAACATGGCAGAAAATACAAAAAGGAATAGTTAATAGATGTACCATCTCTGTTATCTTGTTTGTCATAGGAATGAATATGATAATTAAATCTGGAGAGAGGGAAACTAGAGGCTCAAAACCATCAACTAACATTATGCTACCACCAAATAGAGGGTTTATGGACGATTTAACCATCACTACAGATACCCATGTCCAGGCTAGATGGCTGTTAAAGGCCTTGGAAGAGACAATAACATGGGCAAAGATGGCTTTCAAGCCAAAGAAGTCTAGAGCTCTAGAATAGGGAAGAGCACACACCAAGTTGAACTGAAGGTGCAAGGAGAAGTCATTTAAACAATAATTGACAATCCCATCAAGTGCTTAGGAAAGTGGTTTGATGAATCTTTAAGTGACAAGAACAATATCAGGAGAATCAAACAACAGGTATCAGAGGGAATGAGGAACATCGACAAGACATGTCTACCAGGACAATTAAAGGCATGAATATACCAACATGGACTCCTGCCAAGGATATCATGGCCACTTATGTTGTACGAAATTACATTGACAACACTTGAGAAGCTTGAAAGAACCATCAACAGGCATCTAAGAAAATGGTTAGGTATTCAACCAAGTTTTACAACTGTATGACTGTACCGTAGGACCGCCACGCTGCAGCTACTATTAATATCTATAGTGAAAGAATTCAAAGTTAGCAAAACTCGTCTTGTAATGACATTGAACAAATCTAGAGATGACAAAGTAAGAACAGCAGGTGTCCAAATAAGAACAGGGCGAAAGTGGTCAGCCTCTAAAGCAGTTTCAGAAGCAGAGAGTAGATTGAGGCATTAAGACATCGTAGGAACAGTGGCAGTAACAAGTCAGGGCCTTGGTACATCGAAAAGTTGCTACTGGAAAAACGCTAACACCCAAGAGAGACGAAGTCTAGTTCAAAGAGAGATAAAATCTAGAGAAGAAGAAAACAGACAAGCAAAGACAGTATAACTAGGGAGCCAAGGTGCTTGGCCAAGATGGGAATTAGAACAACGATCCCTAACGTGGTCAGAAATATGGCGATATCCTCGATTCCAACTACAGTTCCTTCTAAGATCAGTGTTTGATGTGTTACCAACACCTACAAATCTGCACATGTGGAAACTTTCAGAAACACCAGATTGTCTCGTGTGCGGAAACAGAGGAACTCTACAACATGTACGTTCAGAATGCAATATCGCTCTAACACAGGGGAGATATGTACATGGCGACACAATCAAGTACTCCGGGGACTTGCTGAAATGATAGAAAAACAGAGGAAAGTGGCAAAACACATAAGAAATAAACCTATCAAGATTCAGTTTGTGAAGGAGGGGGGCTATGTGAGAAACGTAAACAAAACACGTCAGGAATGTTAAATCAGGCATGAGATTGGCAGTTAGAAGTAGATCTAGGAAAGAAGCTGCAATTTCCTGATATTCTACCAACTAACCTAATACCCGACATGGTTTTCTGGTTTTCAGGCAGTAAGAATGTAGCAATTATAGAGCTGACGGTTCTTTGGAGAGACGTGCCAACGAAGCCAATGAAAGAAATAGGGCAAAGTATGATGGACTGTTGGCAGAGTGCAGAGATAGAGGATGACAGACATGGAACTTTCCTGTTGAGGTTGGCTGCAGAGGCTTCCCTGCACAGTCAGTGTGGAGGTTGTTTTCTGCAGTAGGAGTGACTGACCGACATAGACGAGCAGCTATTCAGAAAATGGGCCTAACAGCAGAGAAAGCGTCTTGCAGGATATGGATGAAGAGAGACAGTAGTAGCTGGAAACCCACCACCAATGCGCAGTGATTGATCACCACTGTTGATCCCCATCATGAGAGTGTATCGAGCTAGGGGTCGAAACACATGATGATGGATGGCCTCGGCTGAGGACATTGATGGTGTTTTACATACAGTTTTTAACTCCACCAGTACTGTATGTAAGTAACTCGCCTCTTGTGTAATTTTGATAGTAAAATGCAAATGTTGAAATAAAAATGGCAACTCTTTAACATTTAAACTAAGAAAAACTTAAAAGTCAATGGACCATGAACGAGGATGTAGGGCCAAATAATGTCCGTGGAAACGAACTATGCCAATGATAATACAACTGCATACCAAATATCATCATTGACCTAAACTGACATAATCGTAAAACATTTCAAAACTGAGGGGGCGGGGTAAAATTATATCAATTGGAATGAGATGTGCCAATGCTAATAAAACTGCATTCCAAACATAATTGACATAACTTAAATGGTTCCCCTTAAACTGGCCGTGTCACCAAAAAAAATAAGCAAGTTCAAACAAAGATGTTCATTCGAAACGGAAATAAAACCTTCTTGATAGTACTCTTAGAATAGACGATCTTATGATCATCATGTAATCACATTTCAACGATTTTTTTTTAATTTGGTCAGCACCTTCTGAGCGCAGCGACCACGACGACATAGTATATGTATAATCTATTCATATTCTTCAGAAAATATATTATATAATATAGGACATATAAGAAAAAATATACTATATAATATAGGACATATAAGAAAACTACTCTTGCCTAAATTAATCAGATCTAAAAATAGATAGTTATACAAAACGTATTTGGAAGGTGTTTAGGCTTTTTCTTCCTTGAATGTAAACGTTCACTCTTTTAAAATGCCCTAGACAATTTAATCATTCACAATCAAACATTGAGGAAAAGGTATACGTCTTGGGCCGCTGTTACTGGACATTGTGGTATGATCAAGTTATTGCGTTAAGATCGTTCGTCTACGGTGTCATTGTTTTGAATTATAAATAAGTTGCCATGATATATAAACAGAAATTGCATAAAAACAAATACTATAACGGGAGATACAATAACTTTATTTTCAAATCACCTGGACCCTGGCCTCTGTAAGATCTATCTTCATGGCTAGCTCTTCTCTGTAAAACACATCAGGATAATGTGTTTTGTGGAAAGCTTTCTCCAGCTCCTCTAGTTGGAAACTTGTAAAAGTTGTTCTATAACGACGTTGTTTTCTCTTTCCAGTAGGACCCACTGTAAAAATATAACATGATTCCTATAATAGAACAAAGCAAATAAAATTACTTAACTTGGACAATTATGTCCAAAATTGTTTGCTTCAATATTGTCAGCAAACATGACTATTATTCTTTAAAGGTATCAGACCAATTCAAAATCCCTATCTATACAACCAAATTTTGCAATTTTCACAGCTTTTTTTATATTTTACCTTAAGTTTAACATATCTTGAATTGTACATGTATCATCTTTCTACATGCCAACTTTAAATCCATGTTTAAAGTCTTCTAAGAAAGAACTGCCTTTCGGGATACAAGTACTACTAAAAATAACCCCTGGTTTTCTGGAAATCTTAAATTAGTATACCATGGAGCGCATTAATCCTCAATTTTTAATGCAAACTCATAGACATGTAAATTTTGACTCAAAATGGTCTAAATATATTTCTCTTTCACCATATGTTTCATTTCTGCAAATTTGTTTGTTATTTTAAGTAAACACTATTTTGTGTCAGAGTAGGGCTACTTTTACAAACGTTCTAAATTAGAGGGAGTGAATTGGTGGTCTGACACCTACAATTTGTTCGGGTTTTGCTTTACTGTTGGTCCTTTTTGGTTTTATCAGCCAAGTTAAAATGTGTACTGGATCAGTAAAATTTGACCATTAATATTATTACTGAGTCGTTACCTCTGCAGCTGGCGGCCTGTTAGTTGCTGAGGGTACCACTTGTCCAGTATTCAGTAATATGGCACGAAATTACGGATAAAGTTTATTGGAATTTGTTGTTATATAATTTTGAAAATTAATGAACGAGTATCCCTCATGCATAAGCTCTGAATCTTTACTTTTGGTCCTTTTAAATTATTGTTTTATCATCTCAACAACAATTGTTTACGGTTTTGGATTGTCAAATATTTTGACCTCGAACATCACTGAAGAGACATTAATTGTCGAAATGCGCATCTGGTATAGTAAAATTGGTACCGTTAATTTAATTTCAACCTTCTCAATAAAATACTAGTAATCAAATATTATACGAGATATTTATAATTGTTATAGTGCAGTAAAATTGGACCGTTAATATTATTACTACCACTGGATCGATACCTCTGCAGCTGGTGGCCTGTTAGTTTCTGAAAGTATCGTCTGTCCAGTAGTCATTACTTCGGGACTGGCATGAAAATACGGATAATGTTTTCTTGAAATCAGCTGTTATAAAATTTTGGAAATCTTAAAAATTAATGAATGTATCTCCCTCATGCATAAGCTCTGATTTCTTGTCAGGGCGTATCTTTACTTTTTTTGTCATTTTGGTTTTATCATCTCTTCAACAATTGTTTAATAAGGTTTTGGATTTTCAAATATTTTGACCTCGAACATCATCGAAGAGACATTAATTGTCGAAATGCGCATCTGGTATAGTAAAACTGGTACCGTTAATGTTATTTCAACCGTCTCAATTAGATACCAGTAATCAAATATTATTCGAGATATTTATACTTTCAAAAAAAGAAAAAAACCTCTGCGATTTGAAGCAATACAATTGACATTAGAAAACGGCAGATTCAAAATGATCTTATCTGAAGTTTCATGGAATTTCCATATGCCTTATCGGTATAAACCTCTTATGGCAGATTTAATATGATTTCAATAATACTCCCAAACCAAGATAAATGAATCCTTAAATGCGTAAAAGTATTAAAGAATCCTTATTGTTTCTCTGTCGGGTAAATAGTTGATATTTGTCCTCGTGTAAAAAATACAAGCACATAATGAAATATTCCAAGCCAGTATGCTGTTCTATCCTGGACTTAGTGAACTTCGGACAATCAGTCTAGATAATTTGGATGTTGTGTCTAGTGTGTATTTTTCTTGCCTATTTGTTTGTTTATTTTGAAAAAAAATAGAAATAGAAAAATCTAATAGTGTTGTTTTCATCTTTCGTTGCCGATATTTCGGGTTGTGACACTCTTATTAAATTGTATATTAAACTTTGATTTTTTTTCACTATGAATGACCCACAGTTATCGAGGTTATGGTCAGTTCAAAGTTTCATTGAAATTTTAACCTTAAATTCAAGATTTCAGTATATTTGTGTGTATTTTCACGTTGAGGGAATACTAAACTAAAAACACGTACAAGTGAGGATTCTACATGTCAAAATAGATGCGTTTATGAAATAAAAAAGGGTAACTTTTATGTATGTTTTGATGAAAAATACATAGCATTTGGTCAACTTTCATGTGAATTTTGAACCCACAAATATAGGTTGTGTGCGAGTAACAAATTTTAGTATATTAGTCACCATGATTAACCATTTATCTATTTGGACAACATCTGCCATCCAAATATGTATTTGATACTTGCATTTGCTCGACATTTATAAATCACAAAAATGATTCAATATTTTATGTTATGTATTCTTTGTTTGTTATTGCTGTTTTTTTTTTGTAGTAGAAAATTAAATTTGTGTTATCTTTTCACAGTTATATCTCTGTGAATGTTCACAGTACTTGAAAAAAAAAACACTTTACAATCTAAACTTTGCCCATACTAATCATTTACTATGACACAAAAATCAAATGATGATTTTGCATTACTTCAATCTGGCAGGGTAGATATTGCACTTAAAGAATCTTCTCATTTGCCTAGTGGTTTCAAATGATTTCATTTTGCCCAAATTTTATAACTGCATGGTAGAAGTTAAAATGGAAATTATGTCCTGTAGCGGTTGTAATGGGATTAATTCAGACTGGTCATGGCATATGATATTAAAACACATCTCTAATTATGCGTTTATGAATTGTGGCAAATGATTCCACTTGATATTTTTCTTTTTTTTCAAATGACTTTTTATGCATATTGAGGAGTATCGCTAGTACTTAGATAAACTGAAACGTAGCGTAAGCAGACGTTTGCATGATCTAGTCTCACCTGCCTTAAAAACATAGAAATCTTTTGGCAAATTTTGAATTATTTAATGAGAGAATATCATCTATATAGCGGAAAATGAAGTTAATGGATACTGCTAACTTCTTTTCTTTCTTCCTAAGAAGTTCCTGTATGAAGTCAGCCTCATATGAATAAAGGAACAAGTCGGCAAGAAGAGGGAAGTCTGCATACGGAGTATATATCTCCCAGTTGATACGCTATATAGATGATGTTCTCTCACTAAATAATTTAAAATTTGTTGATTATGTTGAACGCATCTATCCCATCGAACTTGAGATAAAGGATACAACAAACATAGTTAAGTCTGCTTTATATCTTGACTTACATCTAGAAATTGACATAGTGGTCGGTTGAAAACAAAACTTTACGACAAAAGAGATGATTTCAGCTTCCCAATTGTGAACTTTTCATTTCGTTGTAGCAACATTCCAGCAGCGCCTGCATACTGAGTATATATCTCCCATTTGATATCCCAGGGCTTGTATTTCCTATCATGATTTCCTTGATAGAGGGTTGCTGCTCACAAAAGAGAGACGAAAGATACCAGAGGGACAGTCAAACTCATAGATCGAAAACAAACTGACAACGCCATGGCCAAAAATAAAAAGACAAACAGACAAATAATAGTACAGATGACACAACATAGAAAACTAAAGACTAAGAAACACAAACCCCACCAAAACTGGGGGTGATCTCAGGTGCTCCGGAAGGGTAAGCAGATCCTGCTCCACTGCTCCACATGTGGCACCCGTCGTGTTGCTTATGTTATTACAAATCCGGTAAATAGTCTAATTCGGTAAGTCACATTCGTGAAAAGGGAAGGGTATTGTAGTTACGACATAAGGAACATATCCGATATCATCTGTGAAACGGTTATTCCATAACGGTCAACCAACTCGTGATGGCGTCCGTAAAATTTACGAAGGGATGATTTCAACTTCACCATTTGGAACTCTTGGTTTAATAGCTTCCTTGTGAGCAGCAATCCTCTATCAAGAAAATCATGATAGGAAACACAAGCCCGGGAATATCGTATCAATTGGGAAATATATATACTCCGTATGCAGGCGCTGCTGGAATGTTGCTACATAAAAATGGAAAGTTCACAATTGGGAAGCTGAAATCATCTCTTTTGTCGTAAATTTTTGTTTTCAACCGACCCTCATTGTCAATTTCTAGATGTAAGTCAAGATATGAGGCAGACTTAACTGTATCTGTAGTATCCTTTATCTCTAGTTCGATGGCATAGATTCGTTCAACATAGTCACCAAATTTTGTATTATTTAGTGAGAGAACATCATCACAAGGAAGCTATTGAACCAAGAGTTCCTATGGGAATGCCGATTGTTTGTTGAAAAACACGTCCTCCAAACATAACAAATATGTTGTCAATCAAGAAATCAATCAATTTTTTGTTTGAAACAGAGTGATTTTTTACAAAGTAGGATGTATCCCTCCCTAAGACAAGATACTTGTATCTGCGTTGGCCATTCTTTTTAATGAAACAAAGCAGAACCAACTCTTTCAATTGGTCTTTTAGTTTGGAATAGGGAATACTTGTGTAAAGTGTAGAAAAGTCAAATGTTTTAATACTAATGCAAGATGAAAGAGTCTTAGATTGTATGTACTCTAAAAGATCTTTGGAATTTTTTGGTATCCACATCTGATTCACGCCACCTCTAGAATAGGTAGTTTCACAATAACTTTAAAGCCCGGCTTTGATTGCTGATAAAACTGATGTTAATAATTTAGAAAGAGGTTTCGTGGAACACTTGGAAGACCCAGCAATATATCGTTGTATGTAAGGACACTTATGTATATAGGTATCCAATACAGTGATGGAAGATCCAGTTCTTCATCTTAGGTTGAAATTTCAAAGGACCATAGAACAGACCTATGATTATCCAGGATTTCCTATTTGGTAAGTGTCGTGGGGGTATATGTTGAGTTTCCAAGTGAATTGTCAATACCCAATTCATTTATCAAGCAGTTTATGTAATGTGATTTACACACAAAAAAACGATGTTGTTGGGGCTTTATCTGCGGGGACAAC